CCTTGATCTCACCAAGATGAGAAAAATATTCAAAATTCTAATTTAAAAAACCCCAAAACATTCAGAAGAAACAACAGTCAAGTTCTTGATTTAGCTTCTATGAAATACCTCATTTTTAGACTCATTTCCTTGACAGCAGAGACTGGTTTTTGCCTTTCTTTGTATTCCCAGGCTTTACCCAGTAATTATGTCATAGGCACTTAATAAATTCTAATAACTGGACTGAATAATTAATGCCTAGACTAGAATCAAGTTCAGGGAGGGATTTTGATTAGACTTTTTTTTTTTGGTCAAGACCAAACCTAGTAGGGATTGAAATGTCTTCACCTCTTTGTTCAATGTTGACCATATTGAAAGTCTACATGACTTGGGTCACAGTTTCAACAGGAAACTAACTGCCTTTTATTTCTCTCTAGCAATACTTTAATATAATTATTAAACAGTTTTGCCCCCCCCCCAAATGCAGAGTACTGAGTTTTTCTTCTACTGTAGTAATAAAAAAAGAAATTCAATCATTCAGTAACTGTTTACCCTGGGACTAATTATGCATATATAACACTGTCTCTAAGTAATAGGGGTAGTATATAACCATTATAAAAATTAGTGATGGTTGTAAATGCCTTAAAATTTAGAATAAATGAATTGAGGAACATTTGTTAAGTATATATATCTACCAAGTATTGTACAAAGTAATTAAAAACAGGTAATTAAAAAAAATCCTTGTCCTCAAGAAGCTTATGTTCCAATAGGGAGAGACACCACATAATAGGGAATAATGGGCAGGGAGAGGATATTTTGGTTTGGAGACTTAAGAGGGTTGGTGAGTAGAAGCCATAGGGTACAGATTGTAATTTTGTTCCAGTCTGTGTTCACTAGCTAACCCCCTCTACCACACTGAGTCACTTTTTAAAAAAATTTTTTAATTTAAAAAAAATTTTAATTTATTTTTAGTTTTCAGCATTCACTTCTACAAGATTTTGAGTTCCAAACTTTCTCCCCATCTTGCCCCTCCCCCCACCCCAAGATGGCATGCATTCTGAATATCCCTTCCTCTAATCTGCCTTCTCTTCTATCTCTCCCCCCCTTCTCTTATTCCCTTCCCCTTCAGTTTTCCTGTAGGACAGGAAATACCCCATTTCCTGTATATCTTATTTCCCAGTTGCATGTCAAAACAGTTTGTTTAACATTTGCTTTTAAAACTTGGGGTTCCAAATTTTCTCCCTTCCTCCCTCCCTGTCCACCCTCTTTGAGAAGGCAAGCAACTGGATACAGGTTATACATATGTCCGACTCACTTTTCTTCAATCTCTCCTGGTCTGTTGACTGCTTTCCTACTGTCTACAAACATGCCTGTCTTCATGGTTTTGATTCTCAGAAAACCCTCACTTGCTTTGCTCATCCCTAATAGCTTTCTGTAGTCTGACTTCCACTTCATCAACCAAAATTTCTCTCCTTATAGTTGCCAATGATATCTTAATTCCCAAGTCTAATGGCCTTTTTTTTTTCCCAGTCATCCTTCTTGACTTCTCTGAAGCAGTTGATGACCCTATTCTCTCTTTAGCTTTCTCTGACATTACTCTTTCTTGGTTCTCCTACCTGTCTGACTGCTCCTCAGTCTCATTTGTTACATCTTCATCTTGGTCACTCCCACTAAAGGTAGGTGCCCCCCACCCTGGACCCTATTTCTTTTTCCTCTATGTTATTTTACTTGGTGATTTTATCAACTTCCATGGTTTCAGTTATCTGCATGTTGATGATTCTTAGATCTACATATCCATTCCTAACCTCTCTCTTAACTTCTAGACTTGAATCTTCAAATGCCTATTAGGCCTTTCAATCGATAACCCATAGGCATCTTAAACTCAACATGTCTAAATCAACTAATTATCTTCTTCCCCAAATCCCCTTTCCAAACTTCCCTGTTGCTGCTGAGGGTACCACCAGCCTTTCATTCCCTCACCCTCGTAACCTAGGTGTTATCTTTGACTCCTTACTGTCACCCTTCCCCTCCCCTGTATGCAATCTGTTGCCAAAACCTGTAGGTTTTACCTCTGTAACATTTCTCACATGCTCCCTTCTCACTGACACCGACATTACTCTGCAGACGGATGTAGGGTGTGTTCAGGGAGGATTAGTACCTCTGGTGTGAAGGCTGTTGAGCCCTTTTCAGGGTTGCTTTTTAGCATGATGTTTTCAGCCATGTTATCAAATGCTTTCAATGAGGATGAGCCTGGCATCAAGGTCAGTGATGGCATTGATGGCAAATTCTTCAACTTCCTCAACAAAGGCTACAAGCCAAGACCAAAGTGGAGGTAGTGTTGGTGCTTGATTTTCTGTTTGCGGATGATTGTGCACTCAGTGTAGCCTCTGAAGCTGAGATGCAACAAAGTATGGATCAGTTCTCTGCTGCTTGTGCTAATTTTGGCCTAACACCACCAAGAAAACAGGTGCTCCATCAGCTACCACCACATCATCCATATGTGGAACTATCGGTTACAGCAAATGGAAGTTTTATGTGCTGTGGATAAGTTTGCTTACGTTGGTAGTATACTTTCCAGGGATGTTCACATTGATAATGAGGTTGACACAGGCATTGCCAGAGCTAGCTCTAGGTCGATGTTTGGTAGGCTCTGAAGGAAAGTATGGGAGAGAAGAGGAAGACCAAACTGAAGGTGGACAGAGCTGTTGTGCTGACCTCATTGTTATATGCCTATGAAACCTGGACAGTATACCAACACCATTTGAGGAAATTGAATTGCTTCCATTTGAATTGCCTTAGGAAGATTCTGAAGATCACCTGGCAGGATAAGATACTAGACACTGGGATCGTTTCTGGAACTAAACTGCCAAGCATTCAAATTCTGCTTCAGAGAATGCAGTTCTGATGGGCTGGCTATGTTGTTTGAATGCAAAACATACACTTGCCAAAAAGATTATTTTATGGAGAATTTACAAGGTGGTTGGAAGAAGTGATACAAGGACACTCTCAAGGTCTTAAGAACTTTGAATTGATTGTGTGACTTGGGAGACACTGGTGTGCCCACATCAGAGAAGGTGCTGTGCTCTACAAGCAAAGCAGAATTGAAATAGCTAAAAAAAAACCCCACCAAAAAACAAAAAAACAAGCAAACTTGAGCTGCACAAATTTAGAGAACCCCCCTCCCCCAAATGTTCATCTGAACTATTTGTGTCTGACCGTGGTAGAACATTTGGAGCTCACGTTGGCCTGAGGAGCCACCATCGGACGCACTATAACTTGACCGTCCTCTTTGAGAAGGAAGGATAACAGCCAAGCAACACTGGGCAGACTCTTCTCTCCTCAGACCTGGACTATTGCACCAGCCTGTTGGTTGGTCTCCCTGCTTCAAGTTTCCCCGATGCATCCCACCCTCCACTCCAGAGTCAGTGAAGATCTTACCCCCATTTAGTAAACTCCAGTGGCTCCTTATCCCCTCCATGATCAAATATACAGTCCTCTGGCCTTCAGAGACTTTCATACCTCCCCACCCCCTTTCCTCGTTCCCCTCTTATATTTTACATCTCACTGGCTACTTTGGGATTCGCTGACACCAGCCTCCTTGCTGTTATTGCACAACACACTCCATCTCCTGAGTCCGTTTTCACTGGCTGTTCCCCACTCCTGGAATAATCTCCCTTATCTCTGCTTTCTTTGGTTCCTTTCAAGTCTCAGATGAAATCTCAGTGTCTTCCCTGTATTGATTATCTCTGATTTATCCTGTATATATTTTGTTTGTGCAGTCGTTGGAATATCACTCCCCCATTAGACTGTGAGTTCTTTGAGAGCAGGGACTGCCTTTTGCTTTTCTTGTATCCCCAATGTTTAGCACACAGCCTGTCACTTAGTAGGTGCTTAATAAATATTTATTGACTTTGTATCTTGTAGTACATATTTATTTACCTATCTCTCCCAACACCAAGTTTTTGTTCATGCTGCTCCTCCTGCCTACAATGCCCTTCTTTCACTGAGATTATCTCCACTTTATTCTGCATAAACATAATTTATACATAGCTGTTTGCAAGTTGTCTCCCCTGTTAGATTTTAAGCTCTTTGAAAGCAGGGACTATCTTTTTGCCTTTGTATGGCCAGTGCTTAGCAGTCAAGTTGGTCGACAAGCCTTTATTAAGCACTAATGCCAGATCCCTTGCTAAAAATGGGAGTACAAGAACAAGGGCAGACTCCTTGAGGGAGCTTACATTCCAATGGGGAAATACACATAAAAGGAAAATGCAGGGGTGTGGGGATCGGCCTTGTGCATGAAGCACATACATGTGCGGCCTAAGGGGACCGAGCCTTGGACGGCCTGGGTGGCGGGCTCTGAGAAGAGGGAGCCGGCACAGGGAAGGATGCTTCCAGTGTTAATTTCGTAGTGGGAGCGTGGTGGAGGAAGCCTGCAGCTCAGCAGCCCACGAGGAATAAGACAGGGCAGGATTGGACGCCCCCTTTGAACTAGCACCACGCCTGGCACTCAGTAGGTGCTTAGTGTTTGTAGGAGTAAAATTTCCTATTCAAATCCTATTTCAAGGTGTAGCTCCGGCCTCAATTCCTCGGGCATTTATCAACACCTACTCTCAGTGCGCAGTGGCCTCTAGGCACCCACCACAAAGACGCCAACAGTCTGCCCTCAAGGAGCTTATGTATTCTCTTAGGGGAAAACAACCCAAGGGCAAATGGGGCGGGGGAAGGGAAAGCCCTAGAACTCCAGCCTGAGAAAAGTGCAGGGTCCATTAAGAGAGGGGCGTGCATGGCTCCTGGGGAGGAGCCAGTCTGGGCCGTCCTCGGAAATCGCTGCGGGAAGGGGGCAGAGCCTGGTGGGACGCGGGGGAAGCACTAGAAGACACGAAGATGATCTGGGACCCTGGGAGAGCTCAGCCCGCCCAGCAGGGGCGGGGTCTCGACGCGGCCACACCCACGGGGGGGGGGAGCGCGCAGGCCCCTCCCTTTCTCGTTTATCCCCGCCCCTTCCGGTCCTCCCTGCTGGGGGCGGGACCATCTCGTCTTGCTTCCGGCCCCGGGCTCATGAGTGGCTCCCGCTCTCATTCGTGCGTTGCCTGCTGTCCATCCTCCGTGCTCCCCGCAACCTTCCCTCCGTGTGCGGGGGCTTTTCTTCCATGGAATCGATGTCGAAAGCGATGACCCGTAAGTGTAGGGCCGGGTGCCCTCGGAGCGGGCCTGGCTCTCGGGCACCGAGAGCTCTCCAGCCGGGGCCGGGGCTCAGGGCCGGGGGGCGAGCCAGCCTGGGCCGCCCTCCCTGCCCCTTCGTCCTGCGATCTCGAGGCCTAGCATACGGGAGAGAAAGCTCAGGACGTCGAGTCAAGAAGACCTGGGTTCAGATCCCGCTTCCAACACAGAGACCTACCGTGTGACCCTGGGCAAATCACATTCCTGCTCTGGTCCTCAGTTTCCCCATTTATGAGAAATGAAGGGGTTGGGCTAAAGATCATCAAGGTCCCCTCCGGCTCCAAAGCCGAGATTTGCAGGAAATGTCAGTGGTGTAGGGAACCTAAGAAGTGTAACAAAGGGAAACTGAGGCTCCGAAACCTGATCTCCACCTTAAGCAGGGGTTCGTAATCTGGGGTCCCACACCTTTTTTTAAAAAGCATTTGAAGAACTATCTCAGTATAATTGGTTTTCTTTGTAATTCTTTTTATTACCTTTTATTCATTGGGACCCATTCTGAGAAGGGTCCCAGAGGCATCACCAGACTGCCCAAGGGATCCATGACACCACATTTTATATGGATATTTATATCTATCTGTGTATGTCTGTATAGCTACAGATACCCCCATACACACATAGGCCTAGGGAGGGGCAGTCTTCAAAGGTTATGTAGGCCAACCACCTTGTGTCACGTGTAAGAAAGACCTGCCTGTGTTGGGCCACCTGCCAGGGTAGGGAGCTTGGCCAGGGCACAGCAGGCCTGAGCAGTAGAACTGGACCTTCAACTTGGGCCTCTCCCACTCCAAACCCAGGGACATTTTCATCGTGCCACCTAGCTGCCCCTTAATTTTTTTTTCTTAATAATAGCTTAAGATTCTACAGATCATAGGGCAGCTAGGTGCTGCAGCAGATAGAGCTCCTGCCTTGGAGTCAGGAGGACCTGAGTTCAAATGTGGCCTCAGACACATAAGGATTAGTAGCTGTGTGACCATGGGCAAGTCGCTTAACCCCATTGCCTAGCCAAAAAAAAAAAGATTCTACAGATTATAACATTTTGTGCATGGGGGAAAATACTGGAAAACTTGTTATTCTAAATATTTTTCTTTCCAGTTTTTGCATCTTGATGACTTCATATGTAGTCCTTTATCCTAATTATTCATTGTTTTAAGCTGTTAATAAGTAACATTCCTGCCACTTCTGGACTTTGTGTTCTTTAGAAAGTAGTTGCATAATCTGTCTACTCTCTCTACTCTTAGCCCCAGACCTACCAACGGTCCAGGTTACCTAAATTGCTCTTTGGCAGAGAATGGATTTGTTGTCTATACCCCTGAAGATGTGAGGAGCTTTGTGTCTGAGCTGGGCGATTATGGGGGAAGCAACCAAGCTCATTTTATCACTACCTTATTACATTTCTTTAAGGCCAGGTGGTCTGTCTGTTATCTTTTATAGATTTGTCTGAAGGATGCCCTGGCAAATGTTTTACAACTGGGCTCCTCAGGAAAAAAAAATGTACATGCATACTCTTTTAAATTTAATCTACATTATTAACACTTAACAATCCACAAAAAAAATAAATCAGGCCCTAATTTGTTGGTGCAGATGCTCACACTGAAAAGTCACCATTCTGTGTTAGCTGGTTAGAGCTGGGTTTCAGCCTGCCTGTTGTTGCGCTAGATGGAACTCTCAGTCTGTGATTCCTTTACCGATCCACCAAGTGCTAGTCTCTATCCCAAACTACCTTGTATTTGTAATTACTCGTGTATACATTTGTATTCATTCACTTCATATTTATGCTTTATGTATTTATAGATATATTTGTGTCTCCCCTATTAGAATGTGAACTCCTTGCAAAGAGTAATTGTTTCATTCTTTGAACTTGTATCTTCAGTATAGAACAGGACCTGCTACATAGTAGGAAATAATTGTTGATTTATTTGTTGAAGAGAAAAACTAAGAAATGAGTTTCTAGTTAAATTCAAACTGGGCTTTTGCGAAATCTTTTATAAGAAGCATTGTTGTATGGTGTTAAGACCTGGGGCTGGACGTGAGGAGATCTGGATGCTAGTCTTGGCTCTTCAGATAATTTAATTCTGAGTAGTTTCCTGTCTGTAAGCTGACTTAGAGTCAGAGAGCCTCAATTCAATCTTTCTCTTTACTACCTGTATGATTTGAGGCAAAAATATCTTTGACTTCATTTGGGGTTTTAAAAAACTTTTATTTTATTTTTTTCAGTGATAAATCTGTTTTCTTTCCTTTCTATCCCCCGTCCTTGAAAAATGAGCATAAAAACAAAACCCTTGTAAAGTGTAGGCATAGTCAAAACAAATTCCTGAATTGGACATGTTCAAAGACATACTGCTCATTTGCACTTTGAGTCCATCACTTCTGTTCAAGAAGTGGGTAGGATGCTCTGTCTAAGTCAGCTGGGATTATGGTTGGTCATTACACTGACCAGTGTTTTTAAGTCTTTCAAAGTTGTTTGTCTTTACAATATCGTCATTGTGTTAGTTGTTCTTCTGAAGGTGAGATGAGACCTAGGTTTTGAACTTGGCTGACTGGAAAGATGATTTTGTTCTCAACGGAAATAGGCAAGAAAGGAGTAGGGGGAGGGCTGTTTAGAGGGAAAAATACTAAGTTCTGTTTTGGACTTGTTGAGTTTGAGATACCCATTGTGTAGGCAGCAGCAGGAAGCAGGAGATGCAGAACTGGGTGACAGCTGGTGTAGAAAAGAGGGCACAGGGCAGTGCTCTGGGGCCAGGGGATGGATCGTCTAAAGTCAGTAGTCCGTAATCAGACATTTATTAATTGTGCCAAGAACTGAGCATATAAAAAGAGACGAAAGGCAGAGCCTGCCCTCCAGGAGCTTGCAGTGAAGGATCATTACAACAAGTACAGTTTTAGAAAGGAGTAACTTTTAGAATCTCAAGTGATCACAATTTTTGACTTCACCCAAAGTCCCTTGGTAAGAGATGTCATGAAGGAAAAGACCCAAAACAACCAAAAGCAAGAAGATAGTTGTCTTCAGAACCAGTGATAAACCCTGGTTTGTTAGTGCAAAATTATGTAATAAAATCTTAAATATGAGACTGGGACCGATAACTGTTTTCCTCTTACAGTAAAAGTCATTAGTGTTCATGGCCAGCCTTCCCTGGTGTTTACTGTCCTTTACTTGTGTTCTCAGAATTTCGTTTGGCCCTCATCCAGCTCCGTGTGTCTTCTGTCAAGTCAGATAACCTGACTCGAGCTGGTGAGTTTATCAAGAAGGCAGCAAGCCAAGGAGCCAAAATTATAACTCTTCCTGTAAGTATAAAGGGAACGTCTGTGAATTACACGTCTAATAAAAGTCTGATTCTTTTCATGCATCTCAGCTCCTGTCCTGGAGACTCTAGGGGAAGAGGACCAGTGGTGGATTCTGCTTATCCCTAATTATCATCACGTATCTTTTAACAAGTAATCCACTTAAAATATTTTTTTTATAAAATCTTATTGACTCCCTAGTGATCCAGTCCAGTGGACTTTTTCTAGTTCTCGCCATCCTTGACCACTGTGCATCTTTTGACACTGTTGGCTACCCCTTGACACAGATGATTTTTCTTTTAGCCAACACCACACTTTCTTAATTCTTTTCTTTTTAATTTTTTTTCCATATGCTTTTGAGTTGAAAATTTTTTCCCTTTTTCTCCCCCCCACCCTCCCCAAGACGGCGCACAATCTGACATAGGCTTTACATTTACATACCCATTAAACATATTTTCATATTAGTGAAGTTGTAAGTAAAAATTAAAACCAATAGGAGGAACCATCAGAAAGATGAAACAAAACTCAACAGAAGGTAAAAATAAGTGAGAGCGATTTGACTTCCTTGTTTCTTTCTTTGGATGTGGACAGCATGTTCCTTCCCGAGGCCTCTGGAGATGTCTTAGATCCTCGTAATGCTGAGAAGGGTTCAGTTTAACATTCTTAGTCATTGCACAACATGGCTGTTACTGTGTACATTTTCCTGGTTCTGCTCACTTCACTCAGCATCAGTCCATACAAGTCTTTCCAGGTTTTTCTGAAGTCAGCCTGTTCATCATTTCTTATAGCACAATAGTATTCCATTACTTCATATACCACAACTTGCTCAGCCATTCCCCAGTTGATGGGCATCCTCTCAATTTCCAATTCTTTGCCACCACAAAAAGAGCTGCTATGTATATTTTTGTACATGTGGGTCCTTTTCCCATTTGTTTGATCTCTTTGGGATATAGCCCTAGAAGTGCTATTGCTAGGTCAAAGGGTATGCACATTTTTGTAGCCCTTTGGGCATAGTTCCAAATTGTTCTCCAAAATGGTTGGATCATTTCACAACTCCACCAACAATATATTAGCGTTCCAATTTTCCCACATCCTCTCCAACATTTATAATTTTCCTGTTTTGTCATGTTGGCAATCTGATAGGTGTAATGTGGTACCTCAGAGTTGTTTTGATTTGCATTTCTCTAATCAATAACGATTTAGAGCATTTTTTTCATATGACTATAGATGGCTTTAATTTCTTCATCTGAGAACTATCTGTTCGTATCCTTTGACCATTTATCAATTGGGGAATGGCCACGCTTTCTTAATTCTCTTAAACTTTTTTTTAAACTTTCTTTTTTTAACTGTCTTTTCCTAGACCTTCAGTGTGGTGGTTTCCCAAAGGTTTATCCTTGTTCTTTACAGTCTCTCCTTTGCTAATCACATTTTTGTAGATTTAACCACTACTTTACCTCTGCCATTAACTCCCAAGTCTTGGTTTTCAGTCCTAAGCTTTCCAGATAAGCATCTCCAGTTCCCCACAAACCTGTTCTTATTCCACCCTCTAGACCTGGTTCAGCCATTTGTCTCATCTCTCATGTTCAAACTTCAGGCTTTGCTTTGATGCATCCCCATTTCATGTTTCTTATAACCAGTCAATCACTAAGTGCTGATACTTCTGCCTCGCTACCTCCATCCGTCTGACCTTTCCCTTCTGTTTCTGCTACCACGGTTTTGTTTTGTTTTGTTTTTGGTGAGGTGATCAGGGTTAAGTGACTTGCCCAGGGTCACACAGCTAATTAGTGTTAAGTGTCTGAGGCTGGATTTGAACTCAAGTCCTGATTCCAAGGCCAGAGCTCTATTCACTGTGCCACCTATCTGCCCCCTGCTACCACAGTTATAAAGTACTCCCTGCTTGTCACCTTTGATGTTACTGTAACAACCTCAGAACAGGTCTTCCTATTTGTACCTTTCCTCCTATAGACTTCTCATGTTGCCAGAAGAATCTTTTCTTATGTATACATTCTAGTTTCACCACTACTCTGCTCAAAGAGCTTCCATGGCTCCCTTCTATCTGCCAAGGAACTCTTTTTCTTGACATTTAAAGCTCTTTACAATAGGGAGCCACTTAACCTCTTTTCTAGTGCTCTCTCTCCATGCACTTTGTGTGCCATTCAACTTATCTGTGTCTCTGTTGACAGTCTTTCTTATTCCTCCTGCTCAACTCCAGTTGTTGAATTCCTGTGCATCCTTTCATTCCAAGTCAAACTTCCTCTATGAAGTCTGGGATACCTTTTCTCCTTCTCTGGTGTTAATTGTGACTTTTCACCCTCAGTCCTTAAATTAGCACTTTGCTTTTTACACATCTTTGATGTGTTGATCATAAATTATTATCATTATAATCATCTGTATTGGTGTCATTTTCTTACTAGCCTCTAAGCTTACTGAAGGCAGGAGCTGTCTTAGCTACACTGGTATCTGAATTATTTGGGATGAAGTAAGGCAAAACGTCAAGTCAGCAAACCTTTATTATGCTCTTAAAATATGCCAGGCCTACACTGTGCTGACTGCTGGACAAATATTAAATTTGTTGATTAACGTGACCTTACAACTTTTATAATTTTTTTTGTTATGTTTTTATGGGGTTAAATGACTTGCCCAGGATCACACAGCTAGTAAATGTCAAGTGTCTGAGGCTGGATTTGAACTTGGGTCCTCCTGACTCCAGGGCCAGTGCTTTATCCACCTAGGTGCCCCAAACTTTTATATTTTTAAGAAATTTTAATATGCAATATGTCATTTGGCTGCAATCACTTATGTGATTTGACATTGAGTTCACAAGATCTGACACGTGTTCTTTAATTCTTATTATAAAACCACACTTTTTTCATATTAGTTATTAAGTGTACTTTTCACAACCATTTTTTTTTTGAAGTCTAGCCCTTATAGAACAGAAGTTTTCAAAGAGTTTAAGTCAGAAAAGTTTCCAGGCCACTGAAGCACGTTTGTCTCCATTTCTTTGGTGAATTTCTAAACTTTTGTGATGTGTGGCATGATATAAAATCATGGTTGTAGTAATTCATCTCCATTTGGGAATTCTGTAATTCTAAAACAAATCTGTTTCTCAGCAAATCAGTGTCCAATATCCCAAAAGACTTTGTTGCAGTTTTACACTTTTTTACTCAGACTTTTGGGACAGTTTATCACTAATTCCTTCAAGAGAACAAAACATTCAGGCCCACTGGAAGTAAAATAATTCCCCCAAACAGTTTTTTGTGTGGGTATTTTACAGCCTCATGAAAGTGCCCATTTCTTACAGGTTCACTTGAACTTATTCTTTCAGTGATTTTGATATAGTCCTTGAAGGAAAAAGGAAGTTTGATCAGTAAATGTTTTCTAATCTTTTTTACTTTAGACTTGAATACTAAGATTTAAATATGTAATAAGAAAACGAAAGGAAACATACTATAAACTTAAATATTAAAACTTAGGAGCAGCTAAGAGGTGCAGTGGATAGAGCACCGGCCGTGGAATCAGGAAGACCTGAGTTCAAATCCAGCCTCAGACATATAATACTTCCTAGCTGTGTGACTGTGGGCAAGTCACTTAATCCCAGTTGTCTCACTAAAAAAAAAAAATTAAAACTTAAAAATAAAATTTAAAAAAATGTCATGTGCACAGCAGAACATAAGAGAGGATTCAAAATATATAGTAATAAATTTCCATTTCAAAGAAGCCTATGTAATACTACCTGTTATGTTCAGTGCTATCCATCTTTGCTTCCTTCTAAAATTTTTTTTGTTCTCTGGTGTATACTTTTTACTTTGTTCATTTTCTCCCCTTCCTCTCCTCCCCTTCCCCGGGCTACAGTTAAGCTTAGATATATTTATATATAGATATATATATACACATATACATATATACACATACATGCTTATGTTAATATATACTTTCCCTAACAGATTCTACTCCTAATCTTTGTTTTTATATTTGTGTATATCTCATTTCCTATTCTTCCTGACTCCTCTACTTGTACCCAATACTTTGCCCTCCTATTACTTAACCTACCCCCCTCCAAAGATCCCTCCCTTATCCTCCCATTCCCATAAATCTAAACACCCTTTTATATGCCTCTTTGACCTATCCCCTCACCCTCTCCTCAAGAGATCCCTCCCTTGTCCTCTCCCCCCCTCCTTATCCCCTTAGCAGTTTATTTTTTTCTAAATTTAGAAGACAGTTTCACTCTTCTAGATGTATATGTTTTGTTCCCTCTTGAACCCATTCCCAATGAAAGTAGGTTTCCAGAACCAACAGCCCCCCTCCCACATCTAATTCCTCTGTATTGGTTCTTCCTGTCACACCTCATTTGTATAAGATAATTACTCTTTTTAGCTGTTCCTTTTTTTTTTTTTTAACTTTCTGTTTAGGTCTACCCCAATCTTTTTTATGAACTACCCAATTAATTATAACAGTTAGATGTAAGTGAACAGTCATTCCTTATTGAATCCCTTGTAATTGGTCTTTGGTATATGCCTTATGTTTTTCTTGGCTCTTATATGTCAAATATTCTGTTAAGTTCAGGTTTGTTTGTTTTGGGGTTTTTTTTTACAAAGTAATGAAAGTCTGACAATTCATTAAATGTCCAATTTTTTTTTCCCTTCAGAATTATGCACAACTTTGCTGGGTATGATATTTTTGTCCAGGAGTTCAGTTCTTTTGCCCTTCAACATATAGTGTCCCAAGACCTGCAGGCTTTTAGTGTTACCTAAACATTTTGTTTCAGTCTTCAGCTCCAGTGTTTGCATTATCTTGCCCGTGAAAAGCATTTTTTTCTTCATAACAATAGCAGTTTGTGTGCTTTATTAGTCTTTGTTCTTCCAACTTGGAGGAAACCTATGCTGCGCTCTAGAACAACCAGTAAGAACCTCTTCAGCCCCTGGGGCCTCTGAAGGGCTTTTCTTATTTTGTGAGGATTAATAAGGCTTTTTGGCAGAATGGTTTGCTAATTCATGGTGTTTTATTTTGGCCACATTTTCTTCTGTGGTGCAACTGATCCTATTTCTGATCTTAAGTGATGCTTGAAATACTTGACTTCCTCACAAACTATATAAGAATTATTCCTTGTTCTGAGTAATTTGCAGAACATCTTGTAAACTTTGCATCTTCGTATCTATCAAAGTGCTCTCCTCATAGTAGATGCTTAATAAATGTATAGTAAATGAATAAAAATGCTTTGTACATTCCCGTTCAGCCCTACCCCTCTGTAGTCAGTGAGGAAATAACGTGGCTAAAAAGATAATTCATCCTGAGACAAGTGTAGACATACCTGACTTTTAAGAATAGATCATCAAAGCCTGTCTGTCTTAGTTGTGAAAGAAAAAAAAAGATATGAGATAAATTCTGAGCACTTCTTCCGTCTCACTCTCTTAGAGTTAAGCCAAATTTGTACAGATATTTGCCCATGTTAATATTTATGTGGGTGAGGTATAGGGAAGAACACATAGGAGGGACTTTTCAGTGAGTCATGAGAGTAATTCTTATCTCTAGAAACATAAAATCACAGAATGTTTGTTTTGGAAAGAACCTTAAGATACCTGGTTCAATTCTCACTTTTTTCAGATCACCAGAAGGAAGACCAAAGAGGTGGCTTATGGTATAGTTACTTGTTTAAGGTCACAGAATTCAGTTCAAGTTCATCATTTATCATTCATAATTCTTTATGGGTCCTGGGTATCTCAGTCCATTGCATGGAGCCTGTAACATCTTTAAGGCCCCAAAATTGGATGATTTCAGCAGCAAGTCTATGTACCTCTCTTAGACCCATATGGTTTTCCTTTAACATAGGATCTTGATGAGATAGGAGCTGAGTCTCTTTCTTTGTCAACAAGGTGAGCCCTGGGCCTGGGCTTACCTAGTTGAGGATGGGTCAGATCTTTAGTTTCAATGCCTCTGCTGTCCTCAAGGGCCATGTGGGAACTGACAGTTTTCTAGAAGACACTGTTCTCTTCAAGTGTAAACATTCTGGAAGCAACCACTTCCTTGACATAACAGAGGGGCTTTAACATCTGTTTTTGTTTCCTTTTCTCCTACCTCACTTCTAGGAGTGCTTTAATTCTCCCTATGGCACAAACTACTTTCCTGAATATGCAGAGACAATCCCTGGTGAATCCACACAAAGGCTTTCTGATTTAGCCAAGGAATGCCAAGTTTATCTCATTGGAGGTAGCTTTCTGGGGCTTCAGGGCTACATATTTCTTCATTTGGTGGGGGTCAAGTTCATATCCATGTGGGTGTTTTCACAACTGGTAGTGGTTTTTATGTGACTTTTGCTTTTACCATTATTGTTTTCTGATGTTAAAAAAAATTGATTTGGAGTTTTCCTCTTCTCCCCTACTTCCAACAAAGTAACATTGAAGACATACTTTTCCATAGCATGGGTTTTGCCAGTAGACATTTTCCCAAGCATTACAAAAATGGATTTCTGAAAATGTTTGATGTTTGGCATATTTGTCAGAAAGATGAAAGATAAATCACATCAGTATATGTCCAATATATCTGTTTTTTTGGGGCCTCTAATGTGAGGGGTAAAGAAATTTCCCTCTTGAAGGTACATAAGTAAGCTCAACATTAATCTAGGTTTGTTTGGGGAGGTTTTTTGAAAGAAATTTTAAAAAATTCTATTTAGTATGGTAATAGCTTTTACCACTCCTCTGACTGTATTACTGTGTAGTTCCATGTTTGATGTCATGTATGTTATATGCTAGGTGTGATGAGAATTGCCTGAGAAGGACAAACATGGATGAATTGCAGTTTATATCATGGGAGGGAATTCCCAGATTCATGAGATCACAAATTTATTTGAGTGTGTGACATGTATAGCAGTGTATATATTATCTCCATTTTGCAGGTGAGGAAACTGAATCCTAAGGAGGTTAAACAGCTTGCTTACACAGAATGTTAGAGCCAAAACTGGTCTAAAAAACCCCATTGCTTTTTTTCATTGTATCACTACACAAATACTTATTTATACTGCTTTTAAAATTAAGAATAGGCAAAATAAGATTTGGTTAAATAAATCCAATAATTAAAAAAAAATTCTTTGTTATGCTCAGTTAAGGGTAAGAGTCAGAGATGAGAGAAAAGAAGTGAAACCCAGTGCTGGTGATTATATGGAGGAATAGGTACACTCATTCATTGTTGGTGGAATTACAAATTTGTAGAGCCTTTTTTTGGAGAGCAGTCTGGCAGTAAAAGTTACAAAAATAATCATACCCTTTGACCTACATTTCATTGGTAGCAATGTTCCCTGACAGTGTTATTTAAAAAAAAAACACAGAAAACTATCTGTTGAACATTTTTCATAGCATTATATACATAATTTTAAAAATCTAGAAATGACCAAAATTTCCAATACTAGGGTTAAATAAATTGTGGTGATGGAATATTATAATACTATCAAAACTGACGAGGAACGCAAAGAAATCCTAAGATTGTGAATTTTGTGTTGGAAACTACCTTAGAAGTAAAACAAATCTGGAAAGATCTTTATGAAGTCATGGCAGGTTTTAAAAAAAGGTGGAATGGGAACACTGAAGTATACACTAACTATCACTTTATAATAGGAGAAGTGAATGAGAATAGACAAAAGATTTCTGATAGGAACTTAAAAGTAACTGAAAAATTGTTATAATTTTTAGGCTGAAATTAATTCATTTAAGTAAAACTAGATAGTGAGCAGATTTGACTAATTGTATTGACATTCAACATTTTAAAAAATAATTCATTTTTTAAAAAAAGAGAAGCAGAGACAAAATAAACAATGAATCAGACTTTTATCACGTTGCCATCTTGTGGTCTTTTGCCAAAGACTTTAAAAGCTTTATTTCATTTTCAAGACTCCAAGGCCTCAGTGAAAATACCTCTTCATATTTGTCCCCCAAGCCAGATGAAATTAAATTGAGAGCTGGGTATCTGTCTCTGATATAATTATCACAAACTAACATCTAATTGCTTGAGGTTAAAATTTAAATTAAGGAACACTTGGATTCTCTTAAACCTGTTTTTGTTATGTGCCCTAATGTTGTTTCTCATACACGTAGGAACTTATTTCTGGAAGTATATATATTGAAAAATATCACTTTGAAAAACATGTATTCAAATAGCCTTATTTTTGGCTTATTAGAAAATATTGACAAGCCATTAATCACTTTCCACAAGGAAATTAAAGTCTAACTTGCTGTATTTAGAAAAATTTTGATGGTATATGTATAAGTGGTTTTTTTCCCTGTTAATGAAAGGCTCCATTCCCGAAGAAGATGGTGGAAAATTTTACAATACCTGTACTGTATTTGGTCCTGATGGAACTCTCTTGACAAAGCACAGAAAGGTAAAGGATGTGATGGAGTCTCATTTGTCCTTGTTGGCTGGTCTGCTCCATTTTTGTCTTTGTATGCCTAGTGTCTTGCACATGGAAGACACTTGATAAATGATGATTGAGTTTAAATACCTATAGAACCTAAAGAGATCTCTAGTGGTTAATCGATGAAGTGGGATTGGAGTTCAGGAGAGAGATAAGGGCTGGATATGTTTGGGAGTAATCTTTATGGATATGTTACATGAACCTGTGGAAGGAGAGATCATGGATAGAGAAAGTAGAAAGAAAGAAGAGCTCCTGGGACAGAGACTTGTGGAATACCCACACTTAAAGGAGTGAGAGAGCAGCAATGGTGTGTCAGAGAGAGTGAGCAGGAGTGGTCAGAGAGGTAAGAGGAGAACTGGAGAAAGCTCTGCTGTGGAAGTCGAGACAGAGAGAATCTCCAGGAGGAGGGGAAGTCGAGGACAAGAAGGGCTGAGGATTTAGCCAGGGAAGGAGGATGGAGAATTTGGGAGAGAGAAGTGTCAGATTAGAAGCCAGATTAGAAGAAGTGTGGCAGTGGGTAAGCTGCAGGTATAAATGATGTTTCTGGGAGTTTGGCAGCAAAATTTAGTTCAGTTTCAAGAAGCATTTATTAAGTGCCTGTATCATGTTAGGTTGTAGGGCTACAAAGACAAAAAGATGGTGGTCCTTGTCTCCTTACCTTGTACTGGGAGTGGGGTGGGAATAACCACATAGATAAATATAATTAAATACAGGAAATATACAAAATAATTACAAAGTATGTAGGGAGCTGGGTTTAACAAGAGAAAGTGAGGAGGGAGGACATTTCAGGCATGGAGAGGAGCATTTTAGGAAGGGCTTTAAGTGCCAAACAGAGGAGTTTGCTTTCTACTCTAGAGGGAGTAGGGAGCCACTGAAGTTCCTTCAGCAGGGGAATGAAACGGGCCTGTGCTTTAGGAATCTTAGCTGGATGGCTCTTTGGAGGATAGATGTAGAGAAGGGGAGTTAGAGACAGGGAGATCATTCAGTAGTTCAGGGAAGAAGAGATGAGGGCCTGAATTGGGGTTGTGGCTGAGTAAATTAAGAGAAGGCTATAGGTGTGAGATGGAAGACCCGACAACTGAGTGAGTGTGGGGATGAAGCATCTGTCCTGTGCTAGGGCCCACAAAAACAAACAGTCCTTCAGCTTGAATTCCAGTGGGGGAGAAGGGGGAGAGGATCCAGTATGTGAACAAGCAAATCCAAGGACGCGTTTGGAGACATCTAAGATAGTGAAAACTGGACGAGCTGGGATGGGTGTGGCGGTGGTGGAACCCCGAGGGGCAGCAAAGCGTGAGTAATGGAGAAGAATGCCTGTCGGAAAGAGATGGGATATGTCACATACGGTTTTTCCTATGGAAAGAATTCCAATCTTATAATCTTAAGGAGAAACAATGCTTCAGGGAGCTAGATCAGCAAAGCCACGGATCCATTTTGCGGATGGTGTTCAGCGCTGGGCTGAGAACTTTTTATTCCAGAGACATTAGGAAGACACAGAAGGTTGTTAAGCAAGGGAGTCACATAGCAGTGTCTTACCTAGGTGGGGATTGTTTTGTCAGCTGAGGAGAAGGTGGGGATGGGAGAGGAGAGCCTGGAGAAGGCATCTGAGTTAGGTGGTGGAGGAAGAGGAGGAACGCAAGGGATGAGACGGCAGAGGAAGCAGGAATGAGACTTCGGGGTGAGGAAGGAGAAGGGTTGGCTGCATCCCAGGATTGGAGGGTGGCCATCTATTGAATCCTGTATATGCAAGGATTCTCCACTTTAACATACCTGAGAAGTGTCATCTGTCCTCTGCTTGAAGCCCTCCAGAGACAGCCCATCACCTTTCCAGGCATCCCATTCCACTTTTGATCAGCTCTGACTGCCAGGAAGCCTTTTCTCACCTTCCATCTAAATTTGTTTCTTTCCAACTTCCACCAGGTTTTCCTGGTTCTGACCTGAAGGACCAAATAGAATAAGTGTCATCCCTCCTTCACAGGATAGGTCTTCAGATACTTGTAGACAGTTGATATGTCCTGTGCATTTTATATAGATTAAATATCCTCGGTTCCTTCAACCAGTCCTTATGTGACATGGACTCCTGGTTAAAAACCCAGGAGTCTGGGAGGATGGTAGTGATCTGAAGGGAGAGTAGGCTATGGATTCTGTGGGCTGAGGGGGAGAAGAAAGAAGATTCTCAACATGGGAGGACCACCCAAGGCATCAGAGTGGGAAATGCTGTGCATAGGGAACATCTGCTAGGCCTATTGGAATAGAACAGAAAGTGTGAGAAATAGAACCGGGAATGGGGAATAGGAACCAGACTGTGGAGGGCTTTCAGTGCTCGACCAAGGGGTTTATATTGGCATTCTGAAAGCAAATAGGGGAGCCACTGAAGTTTTTTGAGATCTGTGTTGTAGATTAGAAATAATGTGATCCTTCAGCCAGTGGTTTAGATTTACTAGGAGGGATGTTTACAGGATTTTTCCACAACTCCATATTTGCATGTGTAAAATATTAGTTTTTGAAGACTTGTGAGCATTCCTTGATAACCATGCCAATTATTTTTGAGACAGCTTCATTTGTTTGACATTGATGTTCCTGGGCGGATTCGATTCCAAGAATCAGAAACGTTGAGTGCTGGTGACAGTCTCTCCATGTTTGAAACCCGTATGTACAGAGTTACGTGTGACCTTGATCTTTGGGTTGATTCTTTCTCACCCACTTGTCAGTGAAGAGTGGCAGTTGCCTCCATCCCCTTCTTGGTCTTTACCCACGTGGGATTAGTCCTAATGTGAGGCAGTGTTTCTTAGACCTACAGTCAGCTTGTTTTCCCCACCCCATAGTGGGATGTGGGAGCTTACAGATGGTCTACACCAATGCCTTCATTTTACTGATGAGGTGAGCAGACCTAGAAAGAAGTGACTTGCCCGAGGTTACAAAGCTAATGAATAGAGGCATTGACATTTTAACCCAGGTCTTTTTACTCCAAATCCAATCATATTTTCCCGAACACCAAAGTAAGTTATTTTGCAAAACCTTGTTCCAAGTCCGTGGACAGTAGAGGCAGCCTGGGATAGTGGTGAGAGAACTGGTCTGTGAATCAGGAAGACCTGGGCTCAACACCTGCCTTCACACGTACTGGCTTTGTGACTTTGGGCAAGTCTCCTGGGGCCCGTGGGAAGTTTCTAAAAGTATGAATTGACAAACAGCTGCTTTCTGATCTACGTTGGGCTTTAACCTCCACCAGTGAAATCACAGGTGTGGAACAAAAATACCCAAACACCCCCATCCGCTTTTCCCTCAGGGGGCCTGGCACATGGTGACAAATGCTTGTTAACCAACCAGTTGGCATTCCATGGGCAGTCGAACAAGTGTGGAATGAAACACTTCATGTGAGCAGCGGGACACTAAGTTGCTTGCCTGCCTGCTGTTTATTCCAGCTTTCCATTGGTAGCCAGGCTCTGCCTCCAGAAAGGCGTCATTTAGGATAAATTAGGGTTGCAGGATTAAGATCATTTTGCTATTTATGCACCATCTCCATTTTTTAACTAAAAGGACTAGCAATTTTATTTTGGAATTCTAGTATAGTATGGGGACCTGAGAGCTGTTTTGTGTCCTTATCCATGTCTCCTAAGTTGAGTCAATCAAAAACTATTAAGTTCTTGCTAATGTGCTGAGTACTGTGCTAGACATTGAGATTAGAAATTTAAAAATGAAACGGCCCCCGTCCGAAGGGAGGTTACATATTACATCCTATCGGGAGATCCAGGTTGTCCAGGGTCCTGTAGAATAGGGCACACCTACCCCTTTGGCAGTTTGCTGAAGCCTGCGGGCCTCTTAGAATGATTTTAAATGCATGGAATAAAATATAAAGGATCATAAAGGAAATCAATTATGTTGGAATGCAGTCATCAAAAGATTAAAAAAATAACCCAGCCTAGGTCATAAGCTCTAATTTAAAAGCCCCTACTGTAAACCACACTGGGGTATATTTGGGTGAAGGAGGGCCTGAACCTGGGCTCCTGGTCCTCTCTTCCTACTGGAAACTCACTCCCCACCCCCGCCCCCCAGTGTTACTATTGTTGCTTTTATTGTTATGGCTTCCCTTGCTTGGTGACACTGACTTTTTGTCTAAATCTCTTTTATCTGAGAAACAGCTTACTGCAAAGTGGGCGTGGGGATTTGCTATGACATTCGCTTTGCAGAACTTGCACAAGTCTACTGTCAGAAAGGTGAGGACTTTTTTTTTCTTTTTCTGTTGCTGATGAAATACTTGAGGGCCTTGAGTTGTCTGAGCCTGAGTAAGTCCTTGGTCAGTTACCAAGTATAGGGAAAGCCCTGGATCATTTTGAGACTGGGGAAAGAGAATGGATAAGAATCAAGTCGACGAGCACTCAGTTCACATGCCAGGCACTGCGCTAAGTGCTGGGGATGCAGAGAAAGGCCAGAAACAAACCTTTCTCTGCTCTCAAGGAGCCTCACAGTCTGATGGAGAGACAAGGTGCAGGTCGTCAAAGGAGCTATAGATCAGACAGTGTGGAGACAATCACCTTTACTGCATGCTGGACAGATACTCGTCCAGTCTTTGCCTAAAGAGGTCCGTCAGTTAAACCACTGCCTCTTTAGGCAGCACATTCCGCCCTTGGAAACGGCTCCTTCAAACCTGAATAATAGATTCACGCCTTCAGAATCCTCTCTACTTAACGCTGCAGGGGAGAGTCCTTCCTGAAGACTTCCCTGGTTTCCTCAGCTCAATATGTTTACTCTTCAACGACTTCCTTGAGCACTTAGTCTAGTCTCTCTTTTGTGATTCACTTATAGTGAACACTCCTGGTCAGCTCCTGGAGGACAAGGGACCATGTCATTTTTCATCTTTTATTCCTAGCACCCACTAGAGAGATTGAGCAAAGGCCCTTAAAAACGCCATTTCATTTGGAAGGGAAGGGGAAGGGAGTAAGCTTTTCTAGAGCATTTACTGTGCCAGGCACTGTGCTAAGGCCTTACAATTATTATTTCATTTGATCCTCACACAACCCTGGGAGATAAGTACTGTTATTATCCCCATTTTACAGTTGAGGAAACTGAGGCAGGGGCTAAATGACTTGCTCAGGGTCACACAGTTGGTAAGTGGCTGAGGCTGGGTCTGGACTCAAGTCTTCTTGGCTCTAGGCCCAGCCCTCTATCCACTGAGCCACCAACTACCTCAAAAATTGGCAAGTATTTATTGAATTTATTATGTAATTATTGAATGTCTAGTGTGTGTTCAGTGCTGTGAACTTGGAAGACTTGGCAGCAGTAGAGGTAACTGGGTCGTGCTATCTTAGTGAGCTTCATGAACTTGTCCGAGTCAGTCTCACACAACGTGAAGGAGCAGGGGATGGATTCCCTGCCCCACAAGCAATTTACAGTCTATTGTTCAGATTGAAATCCGTCATTGAGAGTTGAGAGAGTTTGGCTCAAATGGTTCTTTTCACTTTTCTGTGGGGCAGTGAGCCACAGATGGGGATTACAAGAAAAGGAGGTTTGGCTTTGATGGGCTGCTTGTGTAGACTGGCCTGATTGGCATTTTTTTCAGGTTGGAGGCTGTGCCAGGTGAGGAGCAGTGACATGAGCTGCACTTGTCTCATACCAGCTTTCATATCTCTTTCTTTAAGGTTGCCAGCTCCTGGTATACCCTGGTGCTTTTAATTTGACCACTGGACCAGCACATTGGGAGCTGCTCCAGCGAGGCCGGTAAGATCAGGCTCATTTTTTAGGGCCTTTTTTTCCTGAAAAATTTTCCAGCTTAGTAGACTGCTGACCCATTAGAAACCTACCATCCACAATGGGATGTCACCAAGGGACTCCAGCCTCAGCTTGGCCATGTTGGGCAAATCCAGTGGGAAGAATTCCTGCTTGTTGGTCACATTGTGACCAGCCACACCCCTGACCCCCAAGAGCCCCAGCAGTGTTGTGCCCCTCCTCGTCTGGGCCTGGGAGCTGGAATCTAGGTTTTAGTTTCTTGAGATATCATGACATGTAGGGCATTGGCCTTGGAATCAGAAAGATCTGCATTCAAATTCCATCTCAGAACATCTACTCACCTTGTGACTGGACAAATCCCTTAACTTCTGTCAGCCTCAGTTTCCTTATCTGTAAAATTGTGGTAACAATAGCACCTGCTTCACAGGGTCATTGTGAAGTTCAAGTGAGATAACATACATAAACATTTTGCAAACTTTAAATTACTGTAAAAATTTCAGATATTTGAAAAATCTGTTTTTGTTGCTTTGGGGAAAATGGATAAAATATTTTGTGTCCTTTTAGAGACTTGATCTTGACATCTCCCATGTTTTCCACTCAAATTTTAGGTCGTGGTTAGGGAACTGATATCTAACTCTCATTCTTATAATAATGCTCAATTTTAAAATGTACTAATAACCAGGAGCAGCTAGGTGGCACAGTGAATAGAGCACTGGCCATGGAGTCAGGAGAACCTGAGTTCAAATGCGGCCCTGAGGCCTTGACACTTACTAGCTGTGTGACCCTGGGCAAGTCACTTAACCCCATTGCCTAGCCAAAACAACAACCCCCCCCCAAAAAAAAATGTACTAATAACCATATTTTTAAAATTAGAAACTTGTGGTTTCATTGGTATAGGGAACTTTTGGTGAGAGAATTCCCTCTCTCCTGTGCCCTGAAATTGTGAGTTTTAGTGAGTTGCTGAAGTGACTTGCTGCAGGGCCACACAACCAGTGTGGGTGAGGGCAGGACTCATATCTAGATCTTTTTGACTGTAAGGCCCGCCCTGTACTCATTATGCAGTACTGCTTTCCTGGAACCAAGATAATGAGACTTTCTTGTATAGTGCTTATAGACTTTGAAGTGTTATCCCACATATATTGTCTCATTATTTGCATTCAGAAATTGATTGGACCTTTGGGTCAGAGTACCATAAATAGTACCCTGTTCATCTGGTCATGATCTGGTTGTAGATCAGGGTCCATCTTGTCTAATCAGCTCATTTTACAGATGAGGAAGCTGAGGCCCAGAAAAGCATATTTTATAGTAAATTTGCCTCTAGCCATGTTTCAGATTTCCATGTTTCCTAAGTCCCTCTTGCCAATCTGTGACCAGAGGTGAAGAAGAGAGATAGTGGGAATCGTGGATGGCTGTTGTGTGAGATGGGAATGGGGGATGGAGGGATGGAAGGAAGGACTGATAGACGGACAGACAGAGACTGTGCAAGAGAATATCAGGCTCCTGGGGGGCAGAGATGGTCATTTTGTCTTTGTACCCCTAACGCCTTATACATTATAGGTGCTTGTTCCAGCACTCCAGGGGGTCTGTGGTCTCGTGGATGAGGGTTTCTCTCCATCTTTGCAGATCTGAATCCATCCGTGCTTATTTGGTCTGTGAAGTGTTCATCTGTAGCTACCATTATGTTAATAAGGGAGCAGAGGGAGGTGTTCACGTAATATTCTGGGAGCTTTCCTTGGGGTCTCTTGATGTCATGAGGAATGACCGACTACAGGGGTAGGCGATGTGCCTGGCAAATTCACAGACATGTCTGAGGCTAAAAAAAGCTTGAGAAACACGAATATAACCTGATAGTGGTACCATTGCTTCTGCCTTATTCCCTTATGTCAAGGATTGCTTCCAAAAAATCCTGTTTTATTCTGTATTACTCAATAGCTAGGCCTCGAGGCTTTGTCTACACAAGGAAAGGAAGGGAGTAGTCTGTGGCTATTGTGTGGTTAGGCCCTTTGCTCTGGCTCCCCCCTCAGGTGATTGGCACTAATTACCATTGAATGTGAAGGCATGAGCCGTATTGTGGTGTAGACAGTGTCTGGAAGTGTATCCATTGTTGTTGCCTCCAGCTATTCCACAGTTTCCCTGGTTTAGCCGGCCTCTTGGTATTCTTGGTATTTTGTCTCCTGAGAAATTCTTCCATCTTGTTCAGCTGAAAAGGGGCCCTCTCTGCATTGGAAAGTATTATCAATCATTCAACATTTATTAAGGCTACTATGTGCTAGGCACTGTACTAGGCACTGGATACAGAAAGAAGTAAAAGATAAGTCCCTGCCCCCAAGGAGCTTACAGTCCTAAGAGGAGAGACAGCATGTAAACATCTGGGGCAGGAATTTTGCAATATGATCTAATTTTTTATGAAGGGATTACTTATTTTCTCATCTTTTAATTCTAGTGCTGTAGACAACCAAGTGTTTGTGGCCACTGCCTCCCCTGCCAGGGATGTAGATGCCTCATACGTAGCCTGGGGACACAGCACGGTGGTGAGTCCTTGGTAAGTTTCTTCATTCCTTTCTATGTGTACATTGTGGTGTTGGGGAAAGAGAGCCAGTGTGAACCTGTGTGACCTAGATCACGTCTTTTAACCTCTACGGGCTTCAGGTTTCCTTATCTATAAAATGGGGTAGAATGAGATGATCTCTAAGGCCCCTTCCACTTTTAAATTTGGGATTCCATTCCCTTGTGATGTAATATCTCAGAATAGAATCCCTTTCAAATTTCTCTCTATCATTTGGACAGTTTTATTCTGTGCATTGTGGACAGTTTCTTACAGATGTTGCCACATGTCATGTGACATACCCGAGATCTTGCAAAGTAGTAAGCTTCAGACGTAGGATTTGAACGAAGGTCATTTCACTTCAAAATCAGTGCTCTTCCCACAGTACTACACTGATTCCTATCAGCCCAGTGACAGAGTAGTTAAGTGGTTGTACAAAATTGGACCTTTTTTTCTTCCTTTCCAAAAACTGAACCATAGAGTTCTAGGAGACGCTATGGGGCTGTATGCAGAAAAGAGTATTGTGGCAATCTGTTAAGTCTGATTTGTCTGTAAAACAAATTCAGTCATAGCTGCCTGGTCAACTGAAAAAAGAGTTAATTACTAAAAGGAGAGAAATTACAGAATTTTACATGGGGTTCTGAACATTCTCCAGGTCAGCCTTTCTTTTGGGATTTAGCATGGATTGGAGATGGAAGTGAATTAAGAAACAGACCCTGTGTGCATCATCAGACTTATTACATATTAATTGCATTATGTGACAAATTATATGACAAATCTACATTAGGAAGAGTAAAAATAACAGCCTTCATCCTTGGAGATAACAGAATGTTTAACCTAGAAGGAACCTTAGAACTAGACACCATTGTGATCTCCAACTCTCTTGTTTTATAGGTGAGGAAACTAAGGCCATTTGAGGTTAAGTGATTTACCCAAGGTCACACAGCTACTAAGCGTCAGAAGTGAGGTTTTAGAAACATATTCTCGCTCTTTCCATTACACCAGCCAGTTACCCGTCGTCCTTTCCCTGTAGAAAATGCCCCTGCTAAATACGTCCTTTTTCTGTGTTGGCTCCTTTGCAGGGGAGAAATTTTAGCCCAGGCCGGCATCGACGAAACTGTTGTGTACGCAAACGTAGGTAAGACTCGTCTGCCAGTTTGACCCTGTTGCTCTTCCCCCTTCAACTTCCGTTTCCACGTATACAGTGGTGGCTTAGTTTGGTTTTGCCCTCCACACTGACTCAGCAGTTAGGTGGGCTGCCTTCTGCCTCTCAGGAAAAGAGGTGGGAAGCTGAGGCCCAGAATCTTAGAGAGGTGGAAGGCATCCAGTCCTACCGACCCACAACAGACACCCCCACCCTCATGGAGCAACAAGTGGGCATCCCAGCTGGATATCGAGTTTTACCGTTAGCACCCATTGCTCCTGGTTCTGCCCTGTGGGACCGGACAGAACCAGTTGGATCCCTCTTCACAGCTTTCACGTGACACCGAGGTGTTTTTCCTCCCAGCTGAGCATCCCTGTGGGCAGATTGTGACAGGCATACATTTCAGAAATGGCTAGTGTGTTTGCTTGTTTCACTTAACTGTACTTACTTGTTAAAAGGGAGTATCCCTTAGAGAATAGGGCAAAGGCAGGGTCTTTGGGAAGTGACGCTGATGCATCAACATTAGTCAACATGAAAACAAAAATAAAAGCACCAACAAAGCCCTTAAAAACAAACCAACCACCCCCCTCCTCCAGAGGGTTAGACCCAGACCAGTCCCAGGAAATGGTTTCTGATTTGCTCTGGGAACCCCCAGTAATGAGGAGGTTTTGCTCTCAGAGGAGGCCGCATTTTAGTAACAGAACTTGCTCTTCTTGCAGACCTGAAGAAGTTGGTTGAAGTTCGCCAACAAATCCCTGTTCTCAGCCAGAAGAGGAGAGACCTTTATGCCGTGGAGTGGAAAAAGCCCTGAGGGGTGGAGGAAGAGGGGCTTCTATGCCTGGATCTTTAAATTCTTATCTGGATCTCCCTGTTTTTTAAAAATCTCAACCTTTTTCTAGCAGTGAAGGGTAAAGAAACTAATGAGATTACAGAACGTTTTTATTATTAGCCATTGGCTTGTAATGGACATGCTGACCAAAGTAGTTAGCAGAATGAAGTGTTAGATCCTGATCGGGTGCAAAATTCACATAAAACTGAGGTGCCTGTGGCCAAAACTATTACATTGCTGTTCTCCAGAATTTACTAAGATTTCAGACGTGGCCAATGTGTTGGATTATTTTGTTTGATTATACTTGTACCTTAAAAGGGAGAGCTCCTATTCTGCAGTTGTGGGGCCTGGGTGTTGAGTTAACTGCCTAGTGACTGAGATGGGAAGAAAAGAAGGAAGAGCATACATTAAAAACTGGAAAAGAGTAAGTTCAGGGGGAGAAAGGGGCAGTTTTGTGAAGTTTCCTCTTTTGTACTTTAAATGTTTGTGTTAAGTACACAATAAGAATTATTTAAAGATAACTTTAAATTTGCATTAAAATTAAAAAATACGGGGCCTCTTCCTTTGTGGGCATGGTTGTCCTCACCAATAAAGTCTCTCAGATTTACTAACATAGTTCTTTGGAGTGTCCCCTTAAGTGAATCTAAATATTTTATTCCGCTTTCCTGCCATGTTTCTATGCCTTGTATGAGCCTACCTAGTCAAAGATCAATCACTCAGGCTCATCAACCCTCTATTTCCTATTAACCTTTCTGATAGTGTAGGTTGTCATCTCTCATAATGTAAGTGAAAGAGCCATCCTTTACAGCCTAATGTCTAGATGCTGGAGAGGAGAGTTTCTACACAAACTTAAATGTGAGGGTTGTCTTTGCTAAGTGTCTTGTGTAAAGTGTGAATTAACAGCAGTACATAAACAAGAAATGGTTTCCAAGCTCAACACTGTAAGAACCCAAAAGTAGCTTTATTCCCATGTGTTAGTGGATTATCCTGTCTCATTTTACCTTTTGTTTTTGCAAGAAAAACAAATGGAGAGGTTTTGTCAACTGCAATCCGCAAACTACTAACTCTTCCTTGCCTGGAAAGGAAATGGGGAGCAAGTTGGAGTCTGGGCCAATGCAAAAAGTTGTGAGTAACTGCTCCCTTTTCCAATACCCTCGTACTTCCCAATGGTAGCCAGTGCTTTAACTTGTTAAAAAATCGACTTAATGGTAACTTCAGTTAAAGTTATTACAGGCACTCACTACAGATAAAATTATGTAAAGACAGGTACAAAATTCTCAAGAGAAGTAGCTACTTGGTAGCTAGTGCTGTCCTGGAATGCTAGCCCTCAGCTGCTCTTCTGAGTTAAGTCAGGTTGTCGTTCTTTGAGCAGACCTAAGCCCATTCCTCAATAGATTTAACACCTGGTCTCACCCACTGGCTCACATACCCACAAACAATTCAAAATGTGTTTCTTTCCTCCAGGTTCAATGGAGGATCTATTTACCGTACAGAATCCTTTAACACGGCATTGGTAAACATCGTTCCCTTTCCCACATATTTCTTCTAAAATGCAGCTGCTAGGACAGCTAGGTGTCACAGAGGATAGAGCACTGGCCCTGGAGTCAGGAGGACCGGAGTTCAAGCGTGATCTCAGACCTGACACTTGACACTTAATTAGCTGTGTGACCCTTGGGCAAGTCATTTAACCCCAACTGCCTTGCCAAAAAACAAAAACAGAACAAAAAAAAGACAGCTGCTAAATCTTATGTGATCCTGATTTCCTCAGTGTTTGAGTTCTTTCTGGCTTGCAGTATTTTTTCCTTTTATCTAAAAAAGGTATTTTAATAATGACATTCCTAGAAGTTTACATTTTGAGGTCTTTTTAGGAGGCGATTGGTGGATTCTTAAGTATCTTCACATTGCCCCCTTTTTCTAATACGTTTGGGCAATTTTTAAAAAATATTTGATACATTGAAATTTCTTGGTTTTTCTGGTCAAGGATTTCAGGTAATGCAATGATTTTTGTCTCCTTGATCTGTTTCCCAAGATTTTTTGACTTTCATAATTCTTGTCTCCTAGAATCATTAACTTCTATTTGGTCTATTCTAATTCTCAGGGATCTTGATAAGATCCAGTTTCATGCCTTGTGTTCTTTTCCCCCCCAACCTCTGGGATTGTGTTTGGTCTTTAAAAATTTTTTTTGGCTATGTAATGGGGTTAAGTGACTTGCCCAGGGTCACAGCTAGTAAATTTTATGTGTCTGAAGCCAGATTTGAACTGACGTCATCCTGAGTCTAGCCCCTGTGTCTTAAAATCTTTAAAAAATTTGTTTATTCATTTTTGTTGCTGAGGCCCCAGCTGAATTCTAGGTCTACTGTTCTCTGAGGATCAGATCAAATTGAGGACTCTTCCTTTGCCCCACAGATTTCTTTCAATGGACTCCCCCCTTTCCTTATGGGTCAGAATAAGTTAGGGCCCCTTCCAATGCTTATTTCTTCACTCTGGATGCCTAAGTTCCCCCTTTTGTTTGGACTTAGTTGAAGCCCTTCCCTTGGGAAGGGCAGAAAGCAGCTTTTACTCTTCTGGTGAAACAGACCTACTTAAGATTTTTTTCCTTTTAGGCTAAGGTCCACCTACCTCACCTTCTTTCCTCTAAAAGCAACAGGTGTTTGCTGAGGTTTCTTCTTCCTGCTGAAGTCTTTCACTGTCATCCCTGGGGATGTCCTACTGATGAGGTTTCTTTATCCCAATCCTTTAGCTTTCACTCTTTAAGGGATTTGACTTTTTTAAGAATTGTGTTGTGTGGCAGTCTGGTTATTTAGTGGTGGGGAAGAGCCATTAATAAATATTCATCTAGTATAGTGCTCTATTATGAAAATGTTGATTAAATATCAGTTTTTAGGATATAATGGCAAACTTGTTTTGTTCTTCCTTTGTGGGCATGGTTGCCCACAAAGTATGGAATAAGAAATCTGTGAGATGCTCAGTTCCATTAAAAATTATTTTTAAAAGCAAATGTTGGGACTTGGGGTGGAAAACTGTTCTATTATGAAAAGCAATCTGGAATTATGCTAAAGAACCAAATGGGGCAGCTAGGTGGCGTAGTGGACAGAGCACAAGCCCTAGATTCAGGGCCGGAGTTCAAATGCAGCCTCAGACACATAACACTTACTAGCTGTGTGACCCTGGGCAGGTCAACCCCATTGCCTAGCCCTCCCTCCCCCAAAAGTAACCCAAATGTCCATACATGTCTTTTAGCTTAGAAGGCCAGAGACAGGCATATGCCCTAAGAACACTAATGATAAGAAGAAGAAAAAAAGCTTCACATAAACCAACATATTTATAGCAGCACTTTTTTTTAAAGTAGCAAAGAAAGAAATCTTCAGTTGGGGTTATGGTGAAACAAGTAGAATGTGAATATGACGGAACTGTTAAGAAATGATGACTACAGAGTAGTGATGACAAATAACTAAGACAGTGGAGTAGGCTGAATGAGGAAAACTACACACAGTGGCAGCAACATAGAAAGGAAAAAAAAAGTTAAAATCCAAACTTCACAGAACACATCTCTTCAATAAAAGGATTTGTTCTGTAAAATTTGGACTCGGTCAAAAGGAAGCACACAAGGACCCACAAGGCCAGTTTCCCCACCCCTGGTCTAAGAGAAGGCCCCTCTCCTTTGCAAAGGTGACGGGAGGGATAATGAGCATGGAACTCTCAAGTACAGAACTGCACATAAACAACACTGTTCATATTTTTAAATGTTTTTGCTGACTTTCTTTTACATTCTTGGATGGAGGAGGGGTAACACTGAGAAATGTGGGTGATGTGAAAATGTTATCAATAAAGGATTTTTTTTAAAGTAGAAGTTGGATGGGGTAAAGGAAAAGTAAGGAGGATAGTTTTCATTTGACTGGCAGTCTTGTCATAGTACCAGCACACTGAATGCTAGAGTTGGTCCTGACAGATTAGGGTAGAACAGATTTCCATGACCGTTGTCCTTATTGTCATGGTGTTTCACATAATTTCTTCTACCCTTTTTGTAGGATCCAATGAGCATATGGGTATCAAAAGCCATAGTCTGCTGGCCCCTGCTTTTAAAGGAATGCCACTTTTGTCCTGTTTTGTCTTTGAGCACACATCATTTCAAGGGACTGTATTTATCTGTATTCTAACATCTAACACCTCTGGCATTTTCTAACTACTACCATTACCTTGTAGTAGGCTGCTACTATTTGGTGATCACTTACCTACTGGTTCCACCTTTAAAAAAGGAAGTTAAGAAAAACTTGAATGTAATATTTATTTGGTGAATTTACATGTGAGTTCATTTACAAAAGAAAAGTTACAGACAAATGTAGCTTTCAGTGCAGTTTCAAATATTTTAAGAACAGGCAACAGTCCGTGAGGATTTGGAATGATAATATTGAACGGCACATGCGTCATTTTCCTTTGTGTGGTTTTTTTCTACCCCTCCCCAGGGGGAGGAAGGGAGAAGAGTAGAAGAAAATGTCAGTGTCAATGAAAATAAGGCCATGCAAATAAAAACTCTTTTAAGAATCAGAGGAATTTTAAGTAGCGGATAAGTAACCCTCCTGAAGTCAACAGTGGTTGTCCTGGAAGGTGCACAATTTAAAGACTAAAAATGGAGAGAGAGCCCTTAGATCTGAACTGTCACTTATCCTGGTTGTCAAAAAAATTTCACTTCCCGATTTGCTACCTTTAGACCCACGACCTCCTAAAGCCAGGAGTTACTACCCCTGCTGTGAAAGAGGGACCAATCTTATAGATACTGAAAAGGTAGTGTCTGCACTGACAAAGTTTATTTGGTTTCAGAAGTATAAGCACCCAGTGAATGCTGGCCCTTTGGATAAGCAGCAATTCCTCACCCCAGACCCTGTACACTAACAAGATTTTAGTTCCCCAGAGGGATGGCATAAGGCCCTAATATATTGTGGTATGTATTGTCTAAGGCTCAGGCTTAGTGAGATACTATCCAATGGCCCACTGCTTTAAAAAAAAAAAAAAAAGGAAAAGAAAAAGAAAAAAGAAAACCCAAGCAACAAAATGGGACGCTTTGCTAGTAAATCAGGATAACCCAAAGGGATAGTCTGGATAAAATGATGGCTAGGAATAAACAATGAACTGAAGTATGGGTTGCGGGTTGAGTGAGAATAAAAATGTAAACAGATGGTCAGGTTTCCTAAGTTGTCAACAAATTCCTAGATATTGGCCCTTAGGACCTCACAACAAAGGGCTCACTGATTCAAAACTGAAGGCATCCCACACACATACTTTTACATAAAAAGGAGCAACTCGGAAAAGGTACTTTTTCTAACTCTGTAACTGTAACTTGGTGAAACACTCAAGACACTTAACCATTTCAGGAAATATGAGGCTCTTGACAATAACATTTAAGTTCTTAATAAAATCACATTCCTTTACCAACTTTTCTTTACTAGCTATTTTAAATTAAGTAATTCCATGTATCACATTCATTACACTTTTATTTGGGTTATATACATAAGCCAGCATTTGAATTTCTTTAAAAAAGTGTACACCATTAAATCTAGCGGTACCAAGTTCAGAAAATAGTCTTAGGCCTGTAAAAACCCACCTGCTTTACCTCTTGA